TTCGTTATAAAAATGCTACTATGACTTTCTTTATTTAACAGGTCGGAGAGAATACTCGAAATCGAGTATTATCCGTGAAATCGCGTATAATACTCGATATTAGGGTATCGTTGAATCCGCGAAATCGGGTATAGGAGGTGTAATCACCTAATAAAACTTAAACAATGGGATGGCGCATGTTGCCGAGTTAACTTTCATCTAGATACACATGTTTTCTAAAGGTATCACTAGCCAAGTAAGAATTTGGGCGTCAAGATTAATGCGCTCAGGACAACAAATACCCGTGGAGCTTAGTACATTTCATGATCTGCACACAAAAAGGCGTTCGATTTGCTTTATATTTTTCCTTATGTTGAAAGTATATGCATCTTCCTAATGTTCATTCCCAACACAACAGAATTGTAAAGTATCAGAATCCGGGAATTTATAATAATTCCACATCAACACGACAAACATGAATAATTTGTAAATAAATCAAATTATACGGAAACACATTTCACACACCAGATATGATGCGATGTATAAACAAGGGATTGTCTATCGTATCTGATTATGCGCCATTAATTACTTTCATATTCATATTGAGCATAAAATCAAATTTATTTATGAATATATAAATAATGTAATGATAAAAATGTCTAATATGTCGGCTAAAAGAACCCTCTTTCTCTTTTTTTGAAAATCTTTTCTTTTTATTTATCATTCAAACATATTTGCAGAATATGTCTTCAACATTTTAGCAGAGACAGTGATAGTTTCAGGAATACAGCTTATGAGAGAACATAACTGTTGATCGTTTAATTTCGCTAAGTCATCAATGTTTTTACCATTTCTTGGCGACTTCAAAAGGTGGGGGGGGGGGGGGGCTAAAGGCTTCTTGACCACCTCTGTCAAAACAACCTAGACTGTGTTCTACATGGGTCCAAGAGACCTCTCTTTGATTGTCACGGTCGGTTAAACTCGGTCATATATTTTTAATCGTAGGTAAGATTTATTCATCAAATAAAAATCATATACGAATTCGTGTTTATTTTTTTAAACACATTTTTTCATTATAGATGAGTATAAGTAAAAATTATTGCCATGAGTAATACATATCATAGATAAAATAACTAAAAGAAAACTGTGACATATTGTCTAGAACCAATCAGATAGTGCGTTGTATTAGCATATTATAATGAGGTATAAGATAGCGATATAAAAAAAATATAGAAGGTAAAGAGGTGATATTTACCCTGTCTATCAAATAGTATGATAAAGAAAGGAAGTGGCTGTAGTACGATTTTTATGAAATTTTAATGTCCGATGAGGAATTATATTCCCAAAAAGTAAGACAAGAGTTTCCAAGGCAATTGAACACTCCATTATTTCAGTTTGTTCATTAACATGTTCATAAACGTAAACACTATAAGAAATGTGAAAACTTGACTATGTAATTCATATTTCAATTTGACTGTACCTCGATGTATATTGAGAAATTCAATGTATTATAAGCTCATGAAAAGATGTACACATTTGACTTTTATTTATACCCCCCCCCCCAAAAAAAAAAAAAAGAAAATCATGTTCATTGGACTTCTCGCTCTCAATTTTCACACAAATGCATAAAATAAAGGTAAAATAGCAAATCTTGTATCGATTAAAATGCAACCAAAAAATTTACGGTGTCTTTGAATAAAAATTTCATGCTAAATTGACATAAAAAAAAAAGATACTCACCTTCAATTACCTATTTTCAACTGTTTTCCCGTGGGTATTTATTTAAATTATTTTATTTTCTTCTTTATAATAACGTTGATATTCTATTATGACAGAGATATACAATTATGACTCGCTTATACTGTACTCTCTAACTGTTAGGAATAATTTATATTTCACTTAAAAGGGAACTTTGTCCCACCCCGCACGTGATTTTTTTTTAACCATGCGTCGCCTATTTATAAACCAGGATTGTGTAGAAATTAAGTTTTTTTTACTTTACTATTGTAGAATTTCTAAGGTAAAAAAAAATTTAAAATGTATATTTATAAATGCAAAAACGACAAGGACAAGGAAAAGACATTTTACATGTTTCAACACTACTAAAGAAACGAATTGGTGAGAAGTAATTCACACCAGATGGCTCACCATGTGTTGCAGTAAATATGTTTTGGAAGTCCTTAAGCACTCATAAAGGATAAAAGACGGTTTGAACAAAAATACGTCGAATAAAAAATTTTAAGTTCCGTGTAAATATTTGGTGCGAATGCAATTAATCATCAGCTTATGATCAAGCAAATTGTCCCTTATCTATAAATTTAAAACATCCTGTGTGATGACCTCATGCGAATTGCTCATACCGGTAAATGTTCAGCCTTTAATCTATTCGTTTTGAACATATTTTATTGACGATATGTTAAAGTCGATCATTAATCATAAAACAGCATCAGACATAAATTCGTATAGTTCGATAATCACTAAAATTAACCCTAAAGATATGATTCCCATTCATATCAATAATTATTAAAAATAATTATTAAAAATATGTGATTATTGATCAATCAAAGTGTAAAGATAAAATTATAATTATTATAAACCCCTCCAAGCATTTTTTTAAGTTTTGCAAAACTATGTTTTTCTAATCCGTTTATTCATTTGGCCAGATATTCAGGTAGACTTGCTCTATTCAGATAGGCTGAGACCCCTGTTTGGACCCTGGTTTGGTGTGGCTTTTAAAATGATGCAATTTGTTTATCAATAAAAACCTGTTGTCATCCCTGTCAAAGAATTGATATTGATTCTAAGTTACGGGAAACACAGAGGTTACAAGAAGGTCAAGAAATATGTAAATTTCCAAATTTTCTCATTTTTATGCAAATTTTCATCAATTTTACAGCAAATTGTGTTTCAGTAAACAGAGAACACAAGCTTGTCTTTCTATCAAATTTATATATTTCGTATACTATAGCCAGCACCAGGTGCATTTCGTGTATAAACATTTCAGATAGGCAAGTTTTTCCTAAGTATTTCCCTAAGAGAAAAGTTTGTCAAAGACAAAATTCACGCATAATTGAGGAAACTCCGAAAAATGATGTCTTACTTCTGCACCCTCCTGTGCCCTCCATACACGAATTGAATCAAATGTAGTACATGTATAGCTTTTCAAACAAACATCATTTTAAGTTTTTTCTTATTTTTTCAAACAAACACAATTTTAAATGTTATGATTTTCGCATCAAATAAGGGGTCAGATTTGGTCGTTACTATATCCTGTTGTCCTTTCCATCTGTAATAATTGTACACAATTAAGATATTGAGAAAAGTGTAAAACATACTAGTTAAACCATGAAATGCAAGTTATTTATAAGACGTAAATAATAAAGAAGAAAAGGGGAATATTCCATGTTACGCACTGAAAAAATATACGTATTCATTTCGCATGAGAGAAACTGAATCAAATGTGTATAATAACTTTATTTATTGGATAATTATATGTTTAAAAAAGAAGCATTTTGACCAAACCTATTTTCAATTTTTGCAAAATATTTAATTATTGGATCCTGTTTAGTAATAAATTTTAAAAGGTTTTGAGTGAATGGCTCTTCTTAAGTTCTTAAGTGTGTCCTTCTAAATGTTAAATCACGAACAAACGTCTACTTTTCCTAAATTACCTATAATGTCTACCGAAGCACAGTTAGATGTTATTTTGAAAAAAAGATGGCATTAGGCTTTCCTTTTCAAAGACGAAGTAACATCAAATGAACTTTAAATGATATAGAAAATTGACAAAATTCTTAATGACCACTATATTTTACTTTAGAATAAAAGGAGCGTCAATAAAATGAAAGATTTGAATGGAACCAATTTTATAATTTAAGTTTAAAATTGCAATTACGTAAGCGATCAATGATATTCTTTGTTGAAATTTCTTCACAGTATTCATGCAGTAATTGTGAAAAAGGTCACAGCAGTGTTATTAATTCAATACTCCATTCATGTGCTTATTGCTATTTATCATACAAATTGTAAGGCCATACTATTTAAGCAAACCTATTTTTAACAGAACTTTTTCAAAAGCTTCTACAAGAGAAGAAGAAAACCCTGTTTTGTGACCATCAACTCGACATTTAATTAAATCGAAGACGTATAATCAATCATTCATGATTGCCAACTCTAAGTGTAATTGCTGTGTTGGAGGTCCGTGGATGAGCCCTTTTATCTTAAGCAGTATACGCTCAAATTATAGTCTAAATATATAATTTTAGAATTTAATATTGAATATTGATTTCAAGTGTACAGGTTTGATATGTTTTTTGATCTGAGTACATTCGTGATTTATTAGAGAATTTAGTCCGTAGCATTTCTTTGATATCGACAATTACTGGAGTAGAATTCAATATAATAATATGAGTTTAAAAAACTTAAATTATTATACTAATGAACAATCTTGGAATTGCTTAATTTGACTAGTTAACCTTGTTTGAATACACATGTACTTTACATTATCAAAAATGTAATTCAAGATAGAAGTTCTTCACTTCCAGTCTCTTTAATCCATTTTCTTTTCTTAACTTTAACTCCAATTATATGGATTGTCTCTTACTCAAATCTAATAAATTTCAAATGTCAATATTGTGTTTTGAATTTTCTTTATGTTGCAAAAGGTTGCTAATTTTATTTGCAACTAATCATGAAGACTCACAGATAATTTATGCAATAGAGAATCACATAGTTATTGTTGATTCTTTTCAGCGGTTTGCGACGTAAGTTTGTGAGAAATGTAATTTTTAAACTAAATGCTTTTCAGAAAAGTGTGAATTGCTTCCTTTCATACAAAGTGAAATAACATCTAAGTTTTCCTATTGAACAGAAGAGATCAAGCACATACATGTATATTTCAAGCACATATATTTCAACCAATCAAATTTAAGACAAGCAGATCAATGATATTTTTTTTGTCAATATCTTGTTCTTATTTATTGAATTAGGCTCGAAATTTACAACAGAAATTAAAGAAGAAGGATGTCATCCATCAAGCAGCATGGTAAATATGTGTTATTGTTTTTTAAGATAAAAATTGAAAATAAAATAAATAAATAAATAAAAATCTATAAGATTTTTATTTACATAAAATATAATAATTTTGGTTTTAATGGATCCTTTCACGAAGAATTTGTTTATTGTAACAATCTTTAGTTTAATTATTTGATAATTAGAAAGTAATACTTAATTGTGATGAACTAAAAGCAAAGAACAAATTAGTATATAATTCACCATGTATTTTTTTTTTGTGTGGTAACATGATAACATGTACTATGATAAAATTGCAACTAGTTTTAAAAATACAGTCCGTATTCTGACAATATGTGTCATTTTAAAGGGCACCTTAAGTAAAAAGCAATTTTTTAATAAAAAATATTTATTTGCTTATTGAAAATCCAGTCCTGAGAAAATAACATTTGTTAGATGTGTGGTTACTGGTAAGAATGAAAATACTTCAAATGTCAAATGCTCAGAAAAAGTAACTGAGTTCGGAAGTTTCTGTTGTTATCGATTTTGTAAAGTTAAAGAATGTGAACAGATGCAAGGACGGTCTCATTTTTTGTTATACTATATAGCATGTATAAAAAAGCATGTCCTCTGATACAGTGAAACAAAAAAGGGGTAGGAGATGTGTAGCAGGTGGGTTTACAAGTACACATTTAGATGGAGTGTCCTTGCACTATATTCCATTCAAAATGGAACCACATCTTGTACCAAAGTGGACTGCCTTTGATTGGCACATTTTCATATTTAATTGAATGTCTTGGCTTGATATGTAATCGTGCATGATTTCTATACACTATGTTCATGAGACATTAAAACAATATTTTTTAGGAGTTATTTAAGATTATTTGATATATGGATCTTTTTATATTTTGATAGATTACTTTAAATCTTCAGAAAAAGAACTAAAGATGGACACGCAGAAAACACTCTCTGCTGTTGAATTGTGTGAAGTCCTGTTAATTGCTGGTAAACAAGCATTGATGTTCATACTCCAAAATGAGATAGAAGAACCGTTGGTTGGTTTTTTTGCTCGACACAAACACGAATTGTTTCACTTATATATCCAACAAAAATGTTGTGGGTGTCATTATACCAAAACTACAGCAACAAAATATGCCGTTCCACGAATGTCATTTAAAGACTGGTCTAGTCTATTCGTGCCAAATAGGAAAAAATGCTTATTCAAGGGATATTGTTTTTGTCAGTTTGAACTTTCGAAGGGGATAAATCTGCATTTTCTCGGAATACCTTTATTAACATGCGTCTTGCTAAATATTTGTAATCTACCAGAAGATGAAAAACTTAAAGTCCTCCATTATCAAGAAGTGTTACGAGCAGTGATTGACTATTGGGAGAATTTTTGTGATTGTAACACTTTTCACTCAGCAGAAAAAGTAGTTCTTGGAATGGTTACACGTGAAGATAACCTTACTCTAATTAAAAAACAGATTCGAGAATTAAAAAGTAATCCAAGTCTTTATTTTGACGAAGTAAAGAAATACATGATGGATTTTCTAGAGGAAAAGAGAAGAACAGCGGATTCTACGGAGTTATTAATTTCTTCAATGGCAGGCAAACATGGATTTAGATATATCACTGTAAGTTTTCTATTTCCCGTTTATTTGTAATATTGTGTGTTTGATTCTCATAATAATGTTACAAGTCATGTTTCTTTAAAGTATTCCTTTAATTGGATCTACATCTCTAACTTAAAAACCACATGTGCCTTTGAATTCCACAGAATGAAAAAATATCTAAATATTTTTACAATATCAATATTTTATCCTGGTTAGGACCTTATCAAAATGAATGCGAAGACAAAAAATCTCCTGCAAACAAAAAAAAAAAGGCCGTAAACAATTTTATTGAATGATCAGAATTTTCTATTCTCTCTTATTATGCTAATTGATCCTGACTTTCTTTCCCGAGTTGTACTGCAAAGTGATTTCACCCTACATTTATCGAAAGGAAGATTATTTGGATTTTAACTCTTCGTTGTTGATCGATATGACTACAGACCATATCAGTCCTTGATTGACAGAGGTCAAAGTTCGATGACAAGACTTTACCAGGTCCGTATTGTCAAATATACCTTATCGAAAGTCAATGCATGATTGCATTTACAGTAACTGTTTAACCTGCTGACTTAGGGATTTGAGCAGATCCATTCAACATTATATTATTAATCTATTTTTTGCAACGATTCTAAGAATTCTATTTTTTATAATATGTGCATCTTCATCAGGAATAATTCGTCTTAAGTTCTGAAATCAAATCTTGCAAATACTTGCAGATTGTTCAACACAGCAAAATATAAACAATTCATTGATCGCAATGTACTTGTCAACATGGCGTTATATCGTAAAATTTGGCGCAGTCTGTACACAGTGAGAGACCGATAATTATTAAAACTATATTTTGTGCAATGAAAAATTACTTTTGCAATAAAATTATTCAATTATTATGCAATATACTGGTATATACCGTCCGTTTATTCTCTACACTAGTGATGCTATCCTATGTTTGTTTGCATATTGATTTAAAACGTAATAGAAGGGTCCTAATAAATCGATTTATTGCAAGGACATACATGTACCTTTAATGTATCTTGCCAAGGTTTTAAGGATAAACTCAAGAAGCATAAAGATATTTGAAAAGTGCTGCAAACCTGATGAAATATTACAAATAAATGAACTATATCAATTTTAATGTATCTTATTTACCAGCAAAATATTCAACCCACAGTTTATTAAATATTATTGCTAGAAATTAAATAGCAGAATTTATATAGATTCGTAGCAGTTTTCACGAATTACGTATAGTATTGAAAAGAATAATAAATTAAACTATAAAATCATAATTCGGTAATGCCATTGCAATACAGGGATTTATGGATGACCTCAACACTTCCAAGTTTATTTGCAAACATCATGTGAATTTGATATCACGTAATAACAGGTCTAAATAGAAATAAATATGTAGATTTGAACTACATTGCATTTTTATCAGTAACAACCCTGAAAAGAATCGCCTATCCTTGTAAAAACTGTATTTTTTATCTTAAAAAATCGCCGCTATTTCCATTTGTCACCTTAACTGTACTGCCTTTTCTTTATTTTGGAGAAAAAGATTTTGTGAATTAGATCCTAAATCTATGTGAATTATGACAATAAAACTGGTTATTATAAAACATGATATGGACATGTTCATTTTGGTGTTTTATTTGAAAGCAATTCGAAAGGAAAATGAAGAGAAGCCAATCGCTGCCATATGGATTCTCAGATTTTAGAATAGGAACAGAATTGGAGGAAACGCAAGGTAAGTTACTTAGTCACATCTTCTTTACTTGTATAGCAGTTTTATTAATATTCTTAAATCTTAATGGTTGCCAACTTATAGTAAAACATCAATTGTGAAATTGAAATACTGTATAATTTTTAACTGATTTCATTTAAACTTTTTTTTATACCGATTAACCTTTCCTATCCTGGCAGAACACCAAAGATGTAGCAGATTTTATCCTTTGGAGAACTTTCCACATTTTCAATACGTGTACAGTTTGGTATATGACTGCTACTGCCACCTCAAGGAATTCGATAACATAATTCCTGACGAATGGGCTATTTGTTTCTTGAAACCAGGCCAGGATCTTGTCATAAAAGTAGACTTCATTGGCACCCTTACACAAGAGAGATTAAACCTTGTATCTGATATCAAGGGTAATAGTGTACTAAATTCACACGTGAATATTATTTTTCCACTTTCATAACGGTTACCAAAAGTTTTCAATTTTATTAAATTAAAGTTAAAAAGCCCAAAACATTAATTTTTTTCATATAATTCATTTGTCGTTCGTAGGAAAAGAAGAAAGAAATGGTAAAACAGTTTGGTCTGAATCACCACTTATCTGTTTTCATGAGGATGTCAAGGTACTTATTTTCTAATAAACTTTATCTTTCCATATACATACATTTAATGACTCTTTAATGCATTTTATACTGTCCTTTTTCAGGGTCATAATAGGAAAGCATGCCATACACTAATTGTGAAAAAAGAGTTAAAAGACACCAAAAAAATTCAGACGGATACTCTCTTTCACATGACCGAGTATGATGAAGAAGAAGTACGCAAAAAGATTTCTGTTTGCTTAGAGAAAGGACTTGGAGATTACTTAAAAAGGACAATGAATAAGATCAAGTATTTAGAACATAATGCTAATGAAGACTTGGAAGATCTTTATCTTGAAATGGAAACCATCCTTAAACATATAATGCATGAAGAAAATATACTACAACATATACCCAAAGAAAACGACAATTGTGGTATACCATCAGAAATAAAGGATTTGCTTTTTAGGTAAAAAAAAAAAAAACCATTTATGTCTAAAAAATCAAAGTTTTAAAAAGTCAATATTGTATTTGAACTTAATTGTTCTTGATTCCTTTGTTCAGTCAGTTGGAGAATTAAGAATGTTGTAGAAAAGATTGCATGAAATCCTTGTTTGAAATTTTTTCAAATAAGTTGTGCTACGACAAATCCACTTTGTTGTTATACACTGCAAAGGATAACTGGAAGATGGGATTTTTTTCACTTGAACACAAAAAAATTTATTTAAACATTGTGTATAATTTAAACCGAAATTTATCCCATTATGCACGCTGTCTAAAGAGATCGATAAGCTAGCAGCGCTCGAAAATATTTAATATTTGTTTTCATTGATTATAAATCTATTTTTGTTTTCAGAGAACCTTACGTCAATTCGTTTGGAATTTGGGAAGATAAGACCTTTAAGGTGTATATGGATGAAATCGTAGATACTGATATTTTCATTGAAAAACTTAAACGCAAAAATAAAACCTTTTTCGAAAATTTTAAAATATTAGTTGAGAAAAAGAAATTTACTACGAAGATTGCGACTAAATTAAAACAAGGTGGAGAGATACATAGACACACTCCTTCAGAGGATGGGGTTGAATGCGGCACTTTAGGTGGATTCGTTAAAGATACTAGAACCACTCGAAACTGTTGTGAAGCATATGCTTTGACGTGTAACCACTTATATCCTACTATGAATGATCCAGCTTTTGCAACAATAAATGGAGAAGAAAGAGAAATTGGAAAATGTATTTTTTCCACCCGTGAAAATTTTTGTGATTTTGCAGTTGTCGAAATCAATAAAGAGCTTGCCAATCAATGCGATTTAGAATTTAGGCGGGACGATGAAATGACATGCAACGCAGAAGTTTCGGATTGTTTTCCGATAAATGTTGGGATCGTACATAAAAACGGTTCTAGAACAAATTGGACGCGTGGTCGTATTGTCAGTCGTGAATTCTGTGACGTTCTGAATAAAAAGGAAGGTTTCGTAGTAAAAGGATCATTTGGCCGCCCTTTCTCTGCTCCGGGTGATAGTGGATCGATAGTGTTTGCAAGAGACAATTCAGTTGCTCAAAACACAGTTGATGTGTTGGGAATGGTCTATTCAAATAATCTTGAAATCCGTGAAAATTTTGAAAACCCGGAATCTGGGCAAGGAAAAACATTAGATGTTTCACAATACTTAGACAAGAGTCCTAAAAAGAGTTTCAATGAAGCTGAAAGTAAATATGAAGACGTAAACAAGTCTAAGATTGACAATTTACAAGAAGAAAAGTCAAAATCTAGGAAAAATCCAGAAAATTACAGTTTATGTTTTCGTATGAATAATGCATTCGAGCTTTTGAAAAACGAAAAAAAATTAGTGGTTGGCTTTGAAAAAGTGCATTCATCAACTGAGACCGATAATTCGTAAACTAAAGTTTATATTTATTATAATATAGATTTTTGTACATAAATAAATCTTTTCTATTCAAATATGTAAATTTTGGACGGATGTATCAGATGAGACTCTGTGGTCTCTTTAATGTTTAAAGGATATATGGAATCAAAGTGTGAATGAAAATGGATATTTTTAATAAAATATTCAAATGAAACATATATATAAATGTCCTTTTGAATGCTAGCTGTAGCTAGAAAACTCTCTTTTTTAATTGGAAGGTTTTAATAAATTGTGTTTCATAAGAATAAAATTACATTCATGCTTACAAATTAAACACAACAGATTATTGTATACTTTGTCTCCGAAGACCACATAAATATGTCAATGAGAAATTTCAGCATGTTCGTGATACATATTTAATTCCGAATATTTGAACAAAGATTTCCAGACATTGTACAACAAGACAAGTTTGTATATTTTATCACATATATGATCAATTTTAAAAGCAACCATCATTAAACCAATCTTGTCTTTAATTACACGAAACATAGCAAGATGAAACATATGGAGATAATGAACAATATTAAAAATCAAAAGTCGATAAAACAATAAAAAATAGGAACAGAGCAAACACGGACCTCCCAAACATCAGCGGTGGGATCAGGTGCCAAGGAGGAGTGAGCATCCCCTGCCGACCGGCCATACCTTCTGTGTGCTCCTTGTCATGAAAATGTGCTCCTTCTCATGGAAATTTCCGGGAAATAACGGGGAAATCTGGCATCAACTCAGTGTATAAATAATGGACTAACAATTAGTATGAAAAACGTCAGTCATCATTTGACTCAATGATTAAATAAATTCTATTTGCTGACAAGGTCACTGTATCGGCCATAGAACTTCATAGAAAATGGTGAATTTAAACGAGACGGTTGGTCTTTAAATTAATTGTTCAGTTGCTCACGTTGTAAAAACATTTCAAACATAGATTTATATGTACATGAAATTACCAAATAAGATAATAACTTATGCATAGCTTTAATTAAATATTAAAAAGTTTAAGTATTTGAAGTTGTTTATTACGATACGATGTTGTGTTTTAAGGACAGGTAACAGAAGTATGAAAAATGACCAACTTAGTGCCAATTTGTGACTTATTGTTTATAGGAACGACATATAGGTTTCTTCAGCTTTGGTATTGTTATGTACACAAAAGGGTTCCTTACATTGTTTTGAATGTCTTCACTCTATCTGAAATAGCAGGGTCAAAAAAATGGGGAACAGACTATATTCAATATTTTTAACTCTCTTTGACGATTGTTATGAAGAAGAAAATAGTAATTTTATGTTTTTGTGTTTGCAGTTTTGGGCTCCCTATATATTAATTGATATTTTAACAAGTATATATGCAACAATTAATTGTCTTATCTGCATGCGTTTCCAAGCACGAAGAAGAACGACTGAGTATAAAAAAAATAATTAGGTTAGAACTTAGGAGGAGGGTATGTTTCACTTTTTATTTGAATTAAAATTTTTACTTGTACATACATTTGTATATACATGTATGTGATTTAAAAGTGTCCGCAACTATATAGTAAATAAGTTTAACATTAGAGTTAAATTTGAAAATCACTGGATTCTACTGACAGCAAAGAAACACTTGAGAAATGCAAAAAAAACGGACATGTTAATAAACAGTTAGATACCTCGGACCTTCTCTAAACAAGTTTTGGCAATGAGTTATCGTTCATAACAGCGAACCCTAGTGGCATTAGAAAGGCCTAGAGACAGCTGAAATTCTTGTCTTACCAACTTGTCTGTTAATAGCTTACATCGTTTTTGAAATTGTTCAAACGTAGAGCATACCTTTGCGTATTGAATCAACTAATGAAAGAATATTGCTGCATAAGTAGAAGTTGATGATAGAAAATTAAAGTCATCATGTTTATCATAGAGCTTGATTGTTAGATTAACATTAACGTCTTTTTTCAAGTAAAATATCCATATATGAAACAGATGTTTCAGAATCTGTGGTATCGTTTATCTAAAGCTCAACAGGATATATCGTATCGGCATAAGAATGGAAATTACCATTGTAAATTGACATTACGTCGTCGGTATATCTAAATGTCGATTTGAAGGCCACATCAAGTTTCTTCTTCTTTTCAAGCACGAGTTTTTGCACAAATTCTGCTTAATATAAATACAAAAACGGTTTGTTAATAACAGCGTACAATGGGTACCCATGGGAATTCCAATAGATTGTTGGAAAACCTGGTCTCCAAAAACAACATAGATATTGTCAATCAGATATTTAAGCATCTTTTTGAGGTCAACTTCGGAGTTACTGTTCTGTACAATCAGAATGGTTTAAACAAAAACATTTTGCAAATGACCAATGACAAGATAAGTAAATTTATGAGTTCCATTTTAATCAAAAAAGCAATTGTCAATGATATAAAAAAGCCTGGTCTTATTTTTATCGTTGGTTGGTTGTGTATAGAATTTAAATTACACAGGGTAATGATGTCTTGAATCATGTTTTCAATTATCTCTTGGGTGTTAATTACTTGTCGGAATAGAAGATAAGAAAATTCAATAAATCTTTTAACTGGATGACTTTTCAAACAATTTTAAACAAAGTAATTCAGAACGAACTGCATAACAAAGCCAAAATAGCTTTTTTTAACAAATAGAAATAATTGGATTCCTTCAGTGAAGGTCTCTTTTTTGTCCTGTCATTCGTTTGTATGGATTTTTCATAAAGAATCTTTTGAGCGATTCATGCACATCTATTGATAGTAAATTTAAACCGAAATTTGTAACATAGTGACATCAATAAATATTAATTTTGAATATTGTTCAAATCGACACAACCATATGCTTGGATGGATCTGTTGCATGTATTATGATGCCAGCCAAAATTCTTTCTTTATTATTATTTTTAAATGTCAGAAAGGAAAAACTGTTGAATATCTAACCTATGATTAACGATAGATTTGTTAGACATGACTCAATGTTTAAAAGTTCAGAAACATAAAAATTACCTAAATTATCCTCCGGATCCTTAATTATTTCAAAATTAACTTAAATATATGTGTGAAATCGTTTATTTATTTCATTCGTCAATATTTTTGTATTGATTTACAAATGCTTTTGACACACCAATTACAAATTTCAAAGCCGAATACCATTTATCTAAAGTTTGTTTTTTAAGGTTATTATGCACTTAGAAAGCACTTTATTTAATTTGATAATCTCTGCATAAGTTGAAAGATAAAATTGTGTAAACCGTAACTTAATATATATAATTATGAATTTCATTACTTTCTGAATTTTTAAATTGCAACATAATATTCTCTGTAGCTTTGTGAACGATTTCTGGGCTCAAAAACCACATTCCTTAAATTTTATGCTTTTCCTTTGCTTTTTGCAAAATAAAAAAAAACATTGTTGAGCACTCGTAGCAAATATAAAAATTCTTCTTTAAAAGAAATTGTTGATGTCGTTATGAAACGGACATCTACTCTTAAAATCAATTTTAGTGAGGTTTTACATTAAATTGTTGATTCTTCCTCAGTTTGCAGGAGTTAACTTCTATTCATTGTTCACCTGTTTTAGAAAGTGCATTTTTTAATGGGATAAGATAATTATAACACACTATTATCATGCTTTTTAGAATTTTCTTTTCTCGCATAATCACCAGTGTAAGATTGACTTGTTCGGTGTGAGACAGCAGTGTGAGATTTTTCTGTCTTACACTGTGTATTACTACGCCACGAACGAGAACGTAAACATTCCGTCATTATATAATGTAAAAAAAAATATAACACATATTTAAACTGTTGTCATTTAACTTATTAATATAAACTTATTTTCATTCAAAATATTGTTGTATTTTCACTTTTTAATGGCACTATTTTTAGACCGCGGAATGATTCTTCTTTAACGCTGTCGGATAGATAAGTTTTTATTCCCAGTTTTTATCTTTCTGATTAATTTACACGGACTGAAAATTTTTTTATCAGTTTACACGTGTAAACCATTTTCAGGTACGTTCTCTCCGATGGTGTATTCAGATTTTTTATTAGATGGAAAATTAAAAATATTTTTTTAGCCCCATCATGGCGACGTCATTGACAGGCCGTTATTTTGGATAAAATAATGCGAGAAAAATAATCATTCATTACATACTTGTGTGGGAATAGTGAAATTCCACCTCGGGGCCAAGATTCACGGTCTAGGACTCGGCAAAGCCTCGTCCTAGACTGTGAATCTTGTCCCCGAGGTGGAATTTCACTATCCCACACTCGTAGTAATGAATGATTCTATTATTCTTTTGTGGTTGTTCTTTTCAAAAAAGCTAATTAAAAAAATTCTATTCTATGACATTTCTAATATTTGAAGTACAAACAATAGATAGAATTGTTAAACAAAGCCAACATGTGTTTTTAACACAGACTATAATGGGGTCGGCACCAAATTGTTCCGATATTATAAGACCTATGTCGTCGAAATAGAGGACGCATAGTTCTTTTATTATGAGAAATTCCTGTGGTATTTGAATATAGTCTCCCATGTTTATTTCATATATTTAGGATAATGCACCTAAATATGTTCTGTTATGACAATCTTGATTTTCGGACTCGTTTTCGGTATGATTATTCAATTTACTGAAACATTCCAATTAAATCCCCCCTTTTTTGCTACAGGACAAAGACGTAAAATACCAAGAAGTATGTTCATCATAAATCTTTCGTTTATATGATGTTTATTTTGGTATAATAAATTTCTGTATGATTTGTTGTATGATTAATTGCTAAAAATTCTGTCAGACTGTTTTGTTAATTTTTTTTCAAGTCTTTAACATGTTTAATCATGCCATATACCTAGATCTATATGTAGAAATGATATATAAAAGTTCTGTAAAAATACATTTAAAATGTTGAGCATACACTTGTACATTAAGGTAGGACCAAATAGATGGGTCAAAATTTTCCTCAATTCAATTTTTATGAAACTTTGATATTTTGTTCTTGGATACAAAATCTCTCTTTATATATGATATGAAAGAAATTCAACCGCACATTTTTTGCCCACATAGTCTGAAATATGGCCTATCAGA